GACAAAAGTCTCCAGCCGCTGCGTCTTTGCAGCCAACCATGATTCGCCGCCATCCGTTTGCAGCGCCCGATGCGCGCACCCACAAATACCTACAGCGCGCACCCTTGGCCCGGCCCAGCCTTTCTCTCTTCTCCCTCCCTTCAGACCTCCCCTCCCCCCGCCCGTCAAATCAAGTGCTTCTGCAAGCCTCTGCGACCTCTAGCGTGCGCAGGGCGTGCTAACGTACGACATACCTACCTGCCACTGTCCTGGCCCGGCCATTACAAAGCTCCCGTCCCCTCTGCCATCCAATCTCCACCTCCAACACCACCACCACCATAACCACCCTAAACCACCCTCCCTCTTCTTTTGCACACAACCTCCCGCCAGACATCGCGCCCACATCCGGCACCAGGTCCCCCAGCTCTCCAACGACTGCGCTTCTGGTCGTGTTTGTTTACTGCGTCGTGTCGTGCCTCGCTGTGCCGTGCCGTGCTGTGCTGCGCTGCCCTACATACCTACAGCTACGCTACGCTACTGCTGGTCGAAGCTGAGCTGAGTAGTAGAGCTGCTCCACCACGGTCGAGTCGAGTCGCGCTGCTTCCAACCATCGCCGATTGCCTCTTTGCAGACTCGCAGAGACGCGCACGCCGCCAGACAAAAGTCGGTCGCCGCTCGTGTTTCCTCACTGCCACCTAGTGCGATCGTCATCGTTACTGTCGCACACGCGTCGCGCCCCTCGTCCACCTGCTTGTTGGACCATCAGACAATAATAAGGTAACAAAGATCCGAGAAGAAGAAAAGGAAGAAGACGAGAGAGAAGAGACCCTTTCCCTTTTGCCTGCCCCCCCATCCAGCCCACCGGCTCCCCCTCCACCCCTCCCCGATCCCAAGAATCGCAAAAGAAGAAAAGAAAGGTGCATCATTCCCGTTTCCTCTGCGCAGCCATGGCCGGCCGTTCATTGTCTGCCTCGTCCTGTCTCGAGCCATTCATTCCCTAGAGCTGGACCTCGTTGAAGCTGGTCCTGTTGCGCCGCACTCGCGCTACACTACACCACGCTGCTCTGCTCCCGTCTCTGCTGTCCGTCCGTCTTGTCCATCCGGCTGGTTTCCTTCGGTTCGCCTCCGGCCACTGCCTGCCACACCCTTCCGCGCCCCCTTGGATACCAAATCTGCACGTCAGGCCTGTTCGTCTGCACCTCGTCCATCCTTGGAACGTCGCCAGCCCAACTATTTCACGACACGTCGCCGCCATCGCTGCTGCCGCCACCGCCGTAACTGCTGGCTTGGATCTTCTTGTCATGTACTCCGCACAACCAACAGGCGCCGACGGTGCGACAATCAATCCCGCTGCCCTCAACTCTGGTAAGTTGTTCATTCCTCATGTCATATATTCTCTTGTCGACGTCGCTGCCCCTCCATCTGGGCTTCTTATGTCGGCCCCCTCCCCCACCAGATCTTTACTTCAACGCGCCGCCTCTATAAAAAAAATTACGGGAAAAAAACTTCATAACACAGCCTGTCTTTACTCTGCGCGCCGCCTCCCCCCTCTTCATTCTTAGTTCACAATGCCTCACGCGCCGTTTGCAGCTCTATTCTCTCGCGCCTTCATAATGCTGACTCGCCGACCATCATAGACTTACTCGGCGCGCCGCCTCGGGGTGTCAAGCGTAATCGGTCCCCGGATCCCGTCGACTCCCACCGGCCTGGCGATGACGGTATGTCGGCGATAGATCTTGTGTAGCTCGGAGTCTTGCGCCGCGTTCCACAGGGCCTCCGGATATCCTTTACACGTTACATCCTGCTCCGTGCGACGATGCGCAAGAATATGGCCTTTCTGGAATGGCGAGAGACGGGAATGAAGCGACCAGACCAGACGGTTTCAACATGCATGTTGGGAGAGAACCGCGCGCTGACTATCATCTTGTCGCATTCTAGGAAATCGCTATTTCCAGCACAAGCGAATAAGACCAATGAAGGCTCGAACGGCAGGAAGCATTTCCGAGGCCCCTGGGCAAGCGCCTGGCGGAGCCGTGCCTCAAGCCATCCCGCCGCCGCAAGCGCCTCAATCTCAGAGCACTGCGATGCCGACCCAGACGACGCCAGCCTACCCTGCCCCGCCGGCGCAACTGCCCCCCAAGCCGACGCCGGCCAAGACGACGCTCAAGGCGCTCCCTACGGTGCGAGATCATACCACCGATCAGCTCAACCCATCGGGCGATGAATACATACCGCGTGAGACAGACGAGTTTGGTGAGAAGAAGGTGATGCCAAACGGTCAGCTCCTTGGCGGCCGCCAATACCGGTGTCGCACGTTCCTGGTTCCAAACCGCGGCGACAAGCTGTTCATGCTGGCCACGGAATGCGCACGAGTGCTCGGCTACCGAGACTCGTACCTCCTGTTTAACAAGAACAGGTCGCTATACAAGATAATTGCCAGCCAGGCCGAAAAGGATGACCTCGTCCAGCAGGAGATACTGCCCTTTTCCTACCGCTCGAGGCAGATCGCCATTGTTACCGCCCGGTCCATGTTCCGGCAGTTTGGAAGCCGCGTCATCGAAAACGGCCGCCGAGTCCGAGACGATTACTGGGAGACAAAGGCCCGGAAGCAAGGCTTCACCGAAGCCGATCCCGCTGGCGAGAAACGACCCGGAGCCGCCAAGGCCAGAGAAGCCGCCGAGGCAGCGCAGAACAGCGTCCTCATGGGCAACCCGCATACGGAGATTGTGTATAACAACACGCCTGGACCGTACCCCGGTGCGCCTCAGCCTCACCTCGTTCAAGGTATGATGGGAGCACCCGGAAGCGCAACGAGAATGCCGGCATTAACAGTCGGACCAGACCTCAGTGACAACAGATCCAGGGACTACGGCGGCATCGTCAAGGGCGGGCCCCGACAGGAGATCACCGGACCCCCTTATCAAGACCAGACCAGGCCTTCTCCTCTGGTGGAACTTCACTCGCAGGCCCACCACGCCGCCGACTTCAACCGTTCCGTGAACCAGCAGCGCGAGATGCGCGACAACTACCTCCAGGGGATCTGGCGCCGGCCACACGAGCAACCCGCGCAGTCCTCCCTCACCCAGCCCGTCGCCGGCTCGACCGACTCGGCTATTCCCACCAGCCGGCCGTCGAACTCGCCTCACACCACTGCCGCCGGCATCGCCCAGCCCGGCGTTGTTTCGTCGCAGAGCCCGCAGATGATGATGACGGCGGCTCCCTACTCGCAGTCCATCAATGCGCAGAGCGCGCTCGGTCAAGCTCCCATCAGAGGTATGACACTTTTGCCTTCTTCAACCAAGCTGAGCATCCGCGAACCAACACCCTCTACAGGCTCCACCGGCGCCCTCAACGCCGGAACGGGTGGCTACAGCTACCAACAGCCAAGCCAAGCCATGTGGTCTCAAAGCCCCCAGACGCCGCAGACCAGCTACAGCAGCTACACCACGCAGCCGCAGGCCCCGCATCCCTCGCAGTCTCCGGCCTCTCACCTCCGCCAGACCGGCGCCAGCCAGATGCAGCAAGGCATGCAGTTCCCCGGCATGGGCAGCATGCAGTACAGCACCAGCCAGGGCATGTATGGCGCGGACCAAACGCCGCGTCAATACATGCCTCAGACCACGCCCGGCGCGCAGTCGGCCTCGCAAGCCTGGTCGGGCCAACACCCGCAGTCTCAGCAGTGGTGGGCTCCTCAGCAGCAGCAGTAGTGGCACAGCTCGAGAAGTCCCAGTCCCTGAGATGGGTTCGGGTATGGTCGTTATTGGCCAAGTACGAGACTGTCGTGTGCGCTATGCTTACAACCCGTTTGCCCTGTTTCTTATTCGGCACGCTCTTGTTTGGAGGACCATTTCATTCTGCTTTTCCTTTACCCTTTCTTCCATTTTTCTCTTCGTTTCTGGGACCGAGCCCCTGCAGTATTCCAGATACCCCAAGCATACAGGTTGGTTGGAGCGGCTTTTTGCTTTCTTGAGTCAGCGGCTCGTTTTGCAAGATGCGCGGCATCTGGCTCAGGCAGGATAAAGGAGTCGGAGGGAGGTCGGTAGGATGTATTTCATTGTTTCGTCGTGTCTTTGCCCGAGTTTCTTCAAAGTTATCCTTCGTTTTCTTCTTTTGACTTGACTTTGACTTCACTTCTCTTCTCAGGCCAGTGGTTACACAAGTAATCCCGCGTCTCACGTTTCTCTGGTTCTATCCATTCCATTTCTGCAATGGCCATGGCAAAGCATCCGACGACTTTCTTTTCTTCTCTCGCATTCTTATTTCCTTATTCTTAACGGCCGAACGGTTTTGTACGTGTCCAGACGGTGGAAACTTTTCCTTCCCTGTCTGGACAAGGGGGATTCTCTTTACCATGCTGTGTCTATTTTGTTTGTAACGGTCTCACGATGGGAGGTCAACTCCTAGCTTGGCATCTCTTTCACGTCTAATCTTGATGTTTCGGCAGGACGGAGGGAATGCAATGTTTCGCGTTCGCTGTTGATACCACTTTGGTTTGGTTTAGTTGTTTGAGCACACTCCCCTTTGATGAGAGAAATTGAGTATATTTTTCTTTGTTCTGGACGTTTTGTCTCTTCTTTTGACAGTGTGAAGGGTGTAATGATTGATGGGGCTGTGAATGCTGCCTGAATGGCATATTTGCTGTCATGCATGGTGTGTTGCGTAGCGACAGCCCTGCAGCTGAAGTGATGCGGTCTGATGGGTGAAATAAGCAGTGGTCCTATTGTTTACTCTGTATTTACCATATTGAGACTTGACCCGCCCCGTCTTGATTCTACCTGGCCGACTTTGGGTTCGATATAATCACCCAGAGAGATGTAGGAAATTCGACTCGTCTTGAAACTAATCCAGTGTTGTATAAGGCATCAGGTATATCTCGGCTCGACAAAGATCTCATCATTCTGAAAGGCAAAAAAACAAGATTACGAAAAAGGGGCTTCCATCTTCCCCAACATCATACTCACTTTACATTACCCCCCTCGTTGGCATTCCAGACAAATCCCCATCGAACCAAAAAGAAAAACTTAATCACTCTCATCCCCCTCCAGCGCCTCATCAGGCTCCTCCCTACTCCTCCTCTCCTCCAGCGCATCCTGCGTCTCATCACTACTGCCCTCGCCGCCGTCTCCGGCCTCGTCCTCCTCGTCCTCCTGTGTCTCTTCTTCTTCATCACCCTCCTCTTCCTCTTCCTCTTCCTCGTCGTCGTCGTCGTCATCTACTACGTCGTCATCGTCATTGACAATGGCGTCTATCTCCTCGTCGTCTTCGTCTTCATGGTCGACGCGGGCCTTTTTGGCGCGCGGGCCGCCGCCGTGGGAGGAGGAGGCGGATGCATCTTCCGAGGCCATGGTCGTGTCGGCCATGTCGGTGTCGTCGCCGCCGCCGGGGCCGCCGTGCTTGGAGGCGCGGACTTTTTGGCGGTACGAGGTGCGTTTTTCGGTCTGGATGGCGTTGAATTCTGGTGGGGGGGAAAGTGTGTTAGAGAGAGAAAGTATTGCCAGTAAGGGGGGGTGATGTATTTTGGGGGAAATGTAAAAGAGCAGATGATGGAAAAGACTTGCAACAGCATCTTGTTGTTGTTGTTGTTGTTGTCCTTGTGAATAGGATAGATGAAGGGGATGGATGATGCTTCTCATTGTGGAAAACGGGACATTGAAGGGGGGGACATACTGGCAAATTCAGCCTCGAGGGGCCCTTTCAAGAATGAAAACTCAGTGTCATCTAATGCCTTGAAGACGTCCGCGGGCAAAATCGTCTTTTTGCCAGCAGCAACAGTGTTTTCATTGGCGCTGTGTGCGGGGACGAAAACAATAGATCGTCAGCAATCAAGGCACAAAACCTCTGAGAGAGTTTTGGGGGGTTTAGGTGAGGCGGAAGGAGACTGTTACTTACTGTGAAGCTAGATAGCTGATGAAGACGGTGGCGCTCTTGCTCAGGGCCAGAATGGCGTTGCCTTGGATCTGCGTGTTGGGGGGCAGGATGCCTTTTGCCAGTCTTGTGATGATGGACTTGGGGAGATTCAGGTCCTGGGAGAGAGAGTGAAAAAAGCAAAGTCAGCCTTAGTCTTGATATTGGATTGCTCTGAGTCTTTACTGCTCTTGTCTCGTTGGAGCATGTTATGTCGGCAAGTTCGTCGCGTAAAGGGCAAAGGTAGCAAGCAGATTATTCAAGAAACAAAAGACAATTCCCGGCTCAGAGTGCGATATATACCCAGGGGGGTGAAGCGTTAAGGAACACCCCGGCGGTAGATGCATACGCAGAAAAAAAATAAAACGAAATAGCTGAGAGGAGAGGGGGGGGTAAAAAAGGATGGAACCTCACCTCTATGGTCACAGCATCCTCCGTCTTCCCCTTATCCTTGTCCTTTTCTTTGTTGTCCTTATGATCCTTCTTATCCAGCTTATGATCCTGCGTCTGGGCAGCCTTTGCAGCAGCAGAAGAAGAAGAAGGAGAGGCTTCTTCAGCAGCGGCGGCCACGGGGGTGGATGGCCGGACGTCGGACTTTCGAGGCGGCATTGTTTCTGTTTTTGCTAACTTTTTGCTTCCAGAGGAGAGATTGAATGCCGTATGTGTGCAGACTCTAAGAACGAGATGTTTTGCGCTTTTTGGAAAAGAGAGAAACGAGCCGAGGGGGGTTGGATGAAAGATGAGGGTAAGCAGGCGGAAGGGAAAATGCGTCTCTTTGATTGAATGTTGTCTTGAGCCGGAGAGCTCCGATGTGAGGAATATCCGGTGGGAGGAAATAGGGATAAGCGAGGACCGATGTACGCTCAATTTCTCTGCCAGTGGGCGTGGACGACGAGAATTGAGCAGTGCTGAAAAGCTGTGGTGACAGAGGTGAAGGGGGCACCAAGAAATGTCCAGATCCAAGTCCCCGACTGAAAGGTATATTCAGCTCCTCAATCGGCCTCGAGGAATGAAACCGACACGCAAACACCCTCTCAAGCACAAGGCACACAAAGGCCAGAAGCAGCCAGCCTTCACAATGAGGGCGTCTCAGTGGGAAAGACCGTCCAAACGTTCGGTGGAAGAAGATCCACCCAAGAGGCAGCTTCTCGTTTCTCGATGCGTAGACTCTCGTCGTAAGTCTTTTTTTTTTTTTTTCCTTTTCTCCTCAGATGAAAGGCCAAGAGCGTTGAAGTGAGATGAAAGAACCGCGGTCCGTTCGTGTGTACCGATGCTTTCCTCTGTCTCGGGTTTCCGCTGTGACGAAGAATATGTAGAAAAGCTATTGCCCGCGCTCAATGTCAATGCTGGGAGTTACGATACGGTAGTCTGATAGCTGAGATGCCGCGAGGCTGAAGGAAGAGGAAAAAGAAAGGACAGCGCCAGCTACGCTTAGACGCGTTTGTGGCCCCCCCGCCGTGGCGCGTTAAGTGGTTGAGCTGCATGTACCCCGTACCGCAGCCGCCCGTCTGCTTCTGCTGCTCACTTCGGTACCTTGTACGTAATGCTCGGTTGGAAATCAAGCATCGTCACGTCTTCAAAAGAGACTCATTTGGCCTATATTCTCACTCTGAGAGAGTTGAAACAAGAGAGCTACTATGTCTTTGCTTAGGGCGTGGTCAATTTAGCTATAGCATTCTTTTATATGTCTGACCTCTCCCCAAGGCCCCTTCTGCTTCAACTCAATTCCCTGCCATAACATGTGTTCCATGCTTTCATACCGCTCCGCCTCCTCCATCAACTACTATTTCCAGCTGCTGGGAAATGTAAAGAAATCCTCCACGGCAGCGTCAGACGCCCGCAAATGGTTGAATGAAAGAAAAGAAAGAAAAAAAAACATTGGGTATATCCGTCATCCATTACTCAAATCAATCATACTAACAAAAAAGGCTCAGCCCGCATTCGTCGTCGCCTACCAATGAAGCGAACAAAGGTGCCCGGCATACGAATCCTCTGCAGGAGTGATAAGACCTGCGTATGTGAAATCGTAGAAGAGAAGTACGCAATGGTGAAGAAGAGCAAATAAAAGGAGAGAAACGTGTGTGAGAAGTAGTTCGCCGTGAATGTGGTAATCCACAGACGACATCTCGTACACCCGAGAAGCGTGTGTAGACAGTCAGCGTTGCCGTGTTCCACCTGACTGTCGAAACGTATATTCTTTCACTCATCCGAGTGATGGAAGCAAATAGCTATGGGCCGTGACTTGCCATGACCATTCAGCCAATGGCGCGTCCAATCTCTGCCCTGAGCACCGCCGGTCGTGGCGAGAGACCAGTCAATGGGAAGTCATCTCGAGAGCTGAGCGTGTCATGGCTTCCTGGTGTCGATATGGTTGCCCTGCGGGCTGACGGCGGTCCTGACTTGGTGAAGGTATCGGCGGATGGCCGTGGAGAGTTTTGCTCGGAAGAATGGCCGTACCATTGTTCACGCCTCACGTTCGAACCAAAGCTGCTTCGCGTGCTCCGTGAGCTCTTGGTCCGAGCATGGCGAGGAGGGTTGGTCTTGGACAGACGTGCTGATGGAGCACGCTTGATATTGACGTAGGCTTGATCACCCCGGACTGTCTCGTCCGTGAGGCCTGGCCGAGAGTTTGGCGCTCGAGCAAGGACTGGTGACGCAGGGACATCGATGCTCAACTTGCCGTGAACGGGAGAAAAGGGAGGCTGCTCATCCGAAACCCGGTTCTGGTACACAATGACGGCGGGTGACTTGGCAGAACCAACGGACGAGCTTGCATGGTGGCCGTGTTGATCTCGTTTTGACTCAGTATGGACTGAAGGATGTGATGGCTTCTCGTCGTTGCCAGCGGTGTGTCTCCGGTCAATCTTCCACGACTCAATTTCTTCATCATCAATCGGCGTGATCCCCCGGTTTCGAAATCGAGCTTTGCGTCGTTGGACTCGGTAGTAGATGAAGGCAGCCAAAAGAATCACACAAACGCCCGGAATGACTGTGGCCAAGATGATGGTGACGGTTGAATGAGGCAAAGACGAAGCCATGCTGTCTGATCGTGTCGTTCTTCCAGCGATTGGGAGGCAGGCTTCCAAGTCAAGGTCCAGTAGGGCAAGGCATAGACATGCCGGAATCACAAGACCATTCGGACGAATCGATGTAATATGTCTGATCCTCTTGTTTTGGTTCCAGGAAAGCGAGCGTGCGGATATCCCCGTTGCCTCAGGATGTCCTCTCCTCAATCACGTTTTGAATTGGCCACTCGATGCTTGAGGTTGACGGTGTCCAGGTGAGATTGTTCTTGCCAGCACAGGAGCAATGCCGACTATCGGGCGACAGCGGCAGGCAATGCCTGGTAAACCAGATATAAATGGAAAAAGCGATCGGCTTCCCTTCCTGTAATGGCGGGAGGGGGGTCAAAGAGCAGAAGAAGAAGCGAACGGCAACTGGTGCCCACTGATTAGCTTTCCCTTTGATTCCTCTTTTTTCTTTGCAGCGTTTACAGCTCTTCCAGAACGTCGGAGGAAGAGGTCAAAACAAGGTCGGAGATATGTAGGTACGCAAAGCCAGCGGATAATCGACTCACGCTCAAAGGCTCGAGAATCATTGTCCAACCCTGATAGGCCCTAACAAAGAGAGTATACTTGAAAGCGACACCCCAAGCTCAGGTTCCTCCAGAAGCAGAGGAAGCAGAGGGGAAGAGGGGGGCTATTGCAGGAAGGGGGGTGGATGGGATACTAATACGATTGCCCAGGTGCAAGATCATGGAGCCGCAAGCGTGCATCTACTACCGGTAACGGTGCTCATGCTGGCAGGAAGGCTTCGTATGAGGTAAAGTACAGTACTCTCTGTAGATACCGTACGGAGCATGTACGGAATCCGTACAAGTGTGCGTCCACTCGAGACCATGACACCTCTTGCACCTTCTGCGGATGGTGTCAAGGAGCGCAGGCGAGTCCAGGGGGTGGGAACGAGCCCACTTGCGATCCACCCGTCGACCCTGGTTCAATGCAAAACAGCTCAAAGTCTTCACGGCGAATTCTTGCTGTACATGCTTCGTACTTGGTTGAGCATTGGATATTGTTCCGGTGGATAACTCCGCATCGAAGCATGGAAAATGCAGTAACCGTGCGAGTGCTTCGAGCTCCAATCTTGATACATACGAGTACGTTGAGGGCCGTACGGCGGCGATAAAAGGCCGTTAGATGGTGGCCAGCGCGAGAGGTACTGTAGAATTGCTAGTCTGCTGAGCTGTTGACCAACTGCAGACAGCTTGGCAACCTGGGCGAGGCCACTGAGCTATTACTCGTATTGAACCATCGCAACCTCGCCATGGACGCAACCCATTGAGCCAAATGGTTCGTGGGAAATGGGTGTGGATGGACAGAGGTGGGCGCATGGCGACTCTCGTCATTCCAGCCGGGCTAGTCGACGCCGCCATTCTACCTCTAACAGCAGCAGCGGCAGCTTCTGGCGAACGAGGCGCTCGCCATCAGGTGCCATGGTCCTCCGAGCCCGTTTTGGGGTCCGCCTTTGGGGGGGATGATCAGGGGCTGGCAGACGCGTGGGGTCTCGAATAACGACTTTCTGCGCCTTGGCCGCCGACCCCTGGCGATGGCGCAGGGAAACGTGGCGCATCTCGCAGCAGACGTGTCAGTGGCACTACGGCACAGTCCTGACTCGAAAGGGCTGCGCGAGGGATGAGGCGTCGTGGCGGCGGCTCCTGGTTGGGGGAATCTGGAGGATTGACGGATCGAGAGCGGCCCCGAGGGGTTGCCAGTCCGTTGGATGTCGCCTTGCCACGCAGTCACGGGAAGGCTCTGAGGAGCAGCTCTGCAGCTCTGCAGCTCGATTGGCTGCCTGGGTCGAGAGCTATCCCGCTTGGCCCGACGAACGGCGCATTCCAGCAGGGCCGGTCGCGGTCCTCTTTCTCGATTCGCCTTGATCTGCCTCGTCTCGACGTTCGTCTATCGTATGCGCGGCGTCAATGGCAATGGCACGGCGATGCGCGGCCAGGAACCAGGCACAGGATCTCGCATTGGGCCGGCAGTTGTTCTGGTGGAGGACAGAGTAGGATTGAGGGAAATCTGAGCCAAGGCTCGGATGGCCAGCCCCAAAAGGAGCAGGCCGCCGGACAATGCGGGATGGCAGGTTTGTGACGAGTTTCGACGGATGCCAATCGTCGAGGTGAAACCTGTGATGAGGATTTGGTTTGTCCGCTTGACACCTCAGGATGAAGAGTTGAAGTATTATGTACGAAGTACCAAGTACCGCGGCTGGAGTCTTGATGATATCGCAATACCATTTGAGCAGTACTTGACTGTTTGCACAGGCGCAGCCGACATCGAGACTGATGTACCTACCTATCTATACGAACTCTAGATAGATGCGCAACGATCATGGTCATGTGCAGCATCGGAAGGAACGTTGAACATTCCTCCCTCCCAACTTCGACTGATGCTTGTACCTGTTATCAGGTACTTTACCAACCCAGCGATAACAACTTGGAACTTGAACTTGAATAACTCAAAGGTATCGACATCGTCAGCTTCATCCATTTGCACTATTCAACAACGTTTGTCAGCCTCTACGCGGCCTCGCCCACAGCCTGCCCAGCCCTGTGTCGACTCGTCTCGGTCAAATTCTGCCCCCCTTGCATGCAGCGATGCGTGACGGCAATGCATGCGCCTACTAGCACCAGCATCACTAGCACTATGCGCTGCAACCCAACACCTGCTCACTGCAGATTTGACGAGCATCAAGCCCACCTTGTCTCGCCTCGCCGCCGATAGTTGCGAGCTCGCCTGCAGAGCTATCGAAAACAAACCACACACGGCGGCTCGGACTTGCTTGGTCACTTAGTAATTCTCGGCGGTCGCTCAAATCGAGCGTTCAAGTCGGTCTCAAGGTGAGCTCGGACATGCATCGACCCATCTTGCCGTCTCCATCTGGAATTAGGATTTGCCTCTTCGGCGGTGTGAGCCAGAAGAAGCAGAAAGGGTGGGCAGAGAGGAGAGAAACAGCAAGTGCTAACTTGATTTACCAGTACGCCAATTGACTAATAGAACAGATGAATAGCCGACTCAACAGTCTGCCTCTGTTCGATTCCAGTTGGCGAATTCGTGCCCTTGCTAAGAAGTACCGAAGCACAACGCGACACTGCAAGCACTGCTGTTTGCAGACTGCATCCTCTCTCGCCTCTCCATCGGCTCGCCTCAAGCTACAGTTGCTAAGCCGGCAGAGCCGGAAGCATATGCAAGGGCCCATGAGTAATAGGGTATGAAGCAAGAGCTCGCAATCTTCAAAGGCCTGACTCGCCCGCAGCTGGGACTGGCTGGTTGAGAACCAAGCGGGAGGTAATTGCATCATGTAAGTCGTTGGATGAGTCCTGCTTTTGCTATTCGGACAGGGACGGATGGGACCTCTCTGCGTCATGAGATGAACGAGTCGGTCAGAAAGTCGTGTTGGGAAGATGCCTTGGCTCATTGCTTTCGCAGCGTCCCAATCCAATATGTGCTTCACCGGAATACGACTGCGACGCTCTGACTGCTTCAGTATTACCACCGGCGGGATACCGGCGAGGGCCACAGAAATGTTCAGAACGAATGACACCCGTCAGCTCGTCCTCGAGCTACAACTACAAAGTCTCCGTACGGAGTACATCTCGCTCGCTTATCCTTCCCCTGGCATTTGTGTTGAGGAGAAGAGTCCCGCCGTTGAAGAAGAAGCTTCGTTACCCATTCCCCAGGGTCAAGAAAGCTAGCACTGCTAATGCGCCGAGATGACCACGGGCTGAACGCTTAATGGCGTCTAATGGTCTGAAGGTAGCGCTTGTACTTGCGCCCGGCCTGTTAGTCCAACTGTGCCAAGTACCGAATCCCATGCTGCTTTGGCGCAACAGCCCTGGCAGAGCACACCAATCTCGTCTCAAAGCAATATCAACATCAACTGGTTCACCCACGCCGTGCCGCAGCAATCGACGGGAGCCACGACACAATACAACTACTGGCAGCGACCTTCGTCCAAGGCTAAGCTCCTCCGGCATGCTGGCGCGCGTTGTCTGGCTTGTAAGTGGTCGAAAGAACCGCCGATGAGCGAGTGAGCTGGCATCCAATAATGCTCGTAATTCGAAGCTGCTCCGCACCAAGGACTTTCCTACTCCAGACTAACGACGACCTAGTTCACCCGCTAAGCAATCTGAAGCACTTGCAAACGCCACGGCTGATTTTCCCGTCGATCAGCTCAGGAGAAGCTCCAGAGCCTCTTCCCTTTAGCTCTCAATGGCTGCGGCTGGGAAAGGTTCGGCGCGCTCATCACCACACTCTAGTGCTGGGCTAGGACTCCGGAGCCCCAGCGTCGTGGAGGAAGTATGGAGTACATACGCGAAGATTCATGCCCGTTCTGTTGCCGAGTGCATAGTCTACGAAAATTTCGTACTGGCAAGGCTTCGAGTCCGGCCGACGTGCTCCAGATGCCCGCCATACTGTATTATCTCACGCAGTCAGGATTGGGGAAATTGTCCGTCTTCTCAAGCAGGTTATGATAAGGGTGGGTAAGGAATCCGTGAGGTGACACGATACCGGCCTGCTCGGGGCGGCAGATGCGCGTGCTTTGCAGGTAAGCATCTTCGCGACCAACTGGAAGCGAAGAGAAGGGAAAGTGAGATTGCCGGCTGGACTGGCTGCGACTCTGGCCTCGCATTCCGCGTGGAGCTGGCGTATCACGGGAGAGGCCGTCCATCGCGAAGTGGCTTGAACGATCGAGGCTGTTTCGAGCCAGGGCTCCGCTTCTCCACTGCTCTCTGGCCAGGCACCCTTTTCTAGCTTCGCTGTGAACCCTTGATCCATGCCATCATGTGCCACAAGCTGCTGCTGCTGGCGTTTCGTTTCACCGGGCCACTTACCCTCTTGGTAGCCGTCTTGTCTTTTCTCTATCTGAGGGTCACGAAGCACTTGAGCGAAAGTGTGGAGAGGTCTCGACTTTTACCGAGTCACGACCAGTGCGCCGGACGATGACGTGCGGACAAGGCAGAGGCAAGAGAGCACAGCAACCCAGAAAGGGGACAGCGAAGAGGGATGTGAATGGGTTGGTAAGCTCACGCATGAAGAACAGAGACAGAAACGTCTTCTGCATTCTTCCCTGACGCTCACCGCCAATTCTAGCGAGATTCTGATTTCTTTCTTTCTTTCTTTCTTTCTTTCTTTCTTGTTCCACCTGTTCATGCCCACCCTTGCTTTGATTGTCATTAGTCTTTCGGCTGTGTCAAAGCGTCTGCTGCTCGCACCGTCCAAACCTTTTTCTCCTGTCCTTGTGTGCGCTGTCTGCAAGGAACGTTCAGCTGACCCTTGCTTCAATAACGCAGCCTGTTAAACGGATGAGATGATATCATTGAACGGCGGGACCAAGGCAGAGCAACCCTCGCGCCGCCCATCCCGCTTCTTAGGCTTGGTGAGCTGAAAGAGAGTTTGAAAGAAGTGGTGTGCATGAGTGCCAGCCCAGCGTATCTATCAATCATGCCTTTGAGCCAACCCTCACAGTGTGGCACTTGGAGATCGACGAGCACGGCGGAAAGAGATCGCTCGCCCGGGTTGTTGGCTTAATCAAACTGCTTCTTCCTCTTTCGCACCATACTATACCTGCGACACTCTCGGAGTGATCAGTGACGTGGACGCATCTCTATGGTAAGCTCAAGGGTTGCGAAGATCAGTGATAACCACGACCGATTTATACAAAGTACTTTATACTGCATTCTACGTTCTCCCTGAGCAGTTTTCTCACGCGAAATGCCCGGAGGATTCATCAGTCTCACGCTCATAGAACCACTGGGGATGATGCATGGCCGACTATTTTTGGCCCGGTCTTCCCCACGAAGACTAACAACATGGTAACGCAGCGGCTAAGGCTCAAAATGAGACGCTGCGTCGCGTTCTTTGGTCTCGGCACGTGGAAGCCGTCTCTGTGCAGTTCAGAACGCCGCAGCTCGACACCATAGGTGCCTGTATGCGGAGTGGGCCCCGTGGATGAAGGAGCCATCCTTCCATGCGTTCGATGAACTGATTGCATTTGGATCTATTTGGCCGGCTGTCTTTTCTGATTCTACATCGATTCTGGCGGACCTCGATTCCCATGTCCGCTGCCTCCATGCGCCACGCAGGCTTGCGGCCGCTGTCCATGCAGTCGAATCCTATGATGCGAAGCGCTTGCCGGTATCGACCATCATCATAGAGCAAAGGCTGCCGTTAGCCGGGTGCACGGACGAATACCAAGGAGACTATTTGGGTGACTCTCCCGCTTCTATCAGCCTTGTTGGTAATGACGGCTCTATCATACGACGCGGAAGTGGTAGTCCACGTGCGTTTGCCCCAGCATACTCGGTTGCGCCAAAGCTATGGGATTCTCAAGTCTATTTTTATCGTTTCTCCATTCTGATGTGAAGAGAAGGGTATGCAGTTTGGGTAACATTACGATGTTCTGCGTTGATGGTCCCTCAAAGTCTGTGTCTAATACCACGTTGATTCTGGTCGATATATGCACGAGCAAGTATCTACCTACTGCTGGGATGCTAACCAAAGCACTCATATGCCAGCCCGGCCGGGACTTCCGCAGGAAGAAGCAGCTCTTTGTTGACTCTGGAAGGGGTGGCAGCATCTTCGTTGAAGCAGCCATCGGTTCGTGAGTACAAAGCCTTGGGAAATAACAGCCTGTAACATGGAACTGTAGCGTCTTTGTCGTAGGTCATTCTTCAGATCCCAAGGCATATGAAAGAAAATATCCTTTTCTGATCAATCATATGCCTTCTTCTTCGTCAACAGAGCGACTGAAGCGATGAGAGTGAGGACGACAGACCGGAATAATTGTCATCTCCTGCCTCTACTCAGAATCCTCGAAGAGGATTCATGCTCGTTTCATATTGATAAGCCACACCCACGACGCTAGCCCTTGCCGACTTGAAGCTCACCATGATCCTTCTGCGCGGCGACATCCAACTATCCGAGCCTTTACTTGTCCGTCGTCGACGGTTACACTTTACGCTAGCATTGCAGTCTATCTACAGTAGCCATCGCTCGGTACGAATGTCATTCACGGCCAAGTGAAATTCGGGGTTGATCATCAAACAAAAGCTACGACGCTGCCCAAGGATGGATGAGGATATGTTCATATCGGTGGGTTGACCGGGCAAGAGTTGGCATTTCACAGCTTGCAGCTCAGCTCGCGCACACACCACAGCTTGTTCCCCTCCAAGGGATCCTGCTGACCCCCCCTCCCTCCCAGACTCACACACGTTAATTCTATGTCGTATCATCCAGCCCGAGGTCTATGGGAGCTACTTACTATCGCCAGACCAGGACGAAACGCACAGCCCGGAAGCCAGGAAGTTGTGTGCCAAGAGTGTTGACGATATGTAAAGGATTCGCGGGGACGATTCATGTGGAAGTGTGCACATGACGCATTGCGTGTAGAGAGGGAGAGCACCAGGGCGTGGAGGTGAGGAGTGTCCGTGAGCTCGGTCCCGACGTGTCGGATCTGGCTGAATGTCAGAAGCTGTGCTTGTGACCTGGGCTCAAATCAAGGAGGGCAGCCAGCCCAGAGACGGTAACGTTTGAAGAGTCTACAAGTGGACATTGCTCCGGTGAGATGATACATACACTTGTTTCTTGGAAGTGGTGCTGGTGGGAGGAAGCGTGTAACAACACTCTCAATGAATGCGACTTACACGATGCCATCTCCTTCCAGGCGTCAAGCGAGACCTCCAGAACGGTATATGGGTTTGGTTTAGGCATTGAGTTACCATCAAGAAGAATTGGTTCCGTGGTCTAGTTGGTTATGACATTTCGTTAACACGTTTAACGCCACCGAAAAGGTCCCCGGTTCGAGCCCGGGCGGAATCACCACTTTCTTTTTTTGTCACTGTAATTCTCTTGGCGTGTGTATAACTACCTATATCGTATGGATTGCGATTGTTGTGGCTTCGTGATTTTGAGGGGAGGTGTTCAAGTCTGAAGATGAGAGGACCGCGCGGTCTTGAGAGCTCCTCCACTGCAGCCAAGTATCAAGTTTCAACCACACAAGATCTTTGCATGAACTACCTTACATCTCCATTCATTTTCCTATTAGAAGAGAGGGCATTACAGTGCCTTCATCCCATCCCACGCCCTTGCAACACATCATACATCATGATGCCGACGACCAAATTCCCCCGATCTAAGGCAAAAGCCGGCTAAGCGAGCAAGACACCGATCGAACGTTGTGATCGGGCAAGTAGGTGTTATTGAACAATGGAGTGGCGTAGTAGATGGCCGAACCCGACGGATTGTAGCAGTTATCTCTGCTATAAGTTGAGAAGAAAGAGAAGAGAAAAAAAGAATTAGTAAATGGGTGACGAAACGAAGATATATAACCGTTGAGAGAGGGGGGGGAACTTACTTGTAAAGGGTGCAGGAGACGTAAAAGGGGCTTGGGAACTGCTGCAGCTGGACTGAGCTCACGTTTCCGGCGCTGTATATGCGTTCAATGAAGTTGATCAGCACGTGTTCTCTTTAGACGACTTATTTCGGCTTTGAAGTGGTTGACGCGGAGTGAGAAGAGGGAGGAGCAACTTACATGCCCTCGGGAAGTTGAAGACACTTGTCGACTCTGCCTGCGATGAAAGCGTTTCCCTTAAAGTTCGGTTGAGAGTAAAGTGTTGCCTTTTGATGACAAGACAAGTCTGTTAGTGAATTTCCGTTTATATATATGCTGAGTAGTTGTAGCGTAGAGGAGGAAAAGACTCACGATGGGGCCGACGGGGACGAGCTGGGCGACTGCGACAGAGGCAGAAGCGATGAGGCATGGGAGTAGCTGGTTGAAATGCATCTTGGCGGCTGTACAAGTTATGATACAAGGTGCAGGAGTTCTTTGGTTCGGGAAATTATTGCAAATCAGGGACTCGGCGGGGGAGCTACAACGTCAAGTCAACCAGTGTGCGATATATATATATATATATATATATATACGTGAAGCCCTTGAATCTGCTCTGACTTTTCGACGTCTCTTTACACTTACAGTTTTGCTCTTCCAAGTTTAGAAACAGAAAAAGTGGTTGGCAGGTTTGGCCCAACGGCCAGAGACATGTCGTCTGATTTGTTTTCCCTGCAGTGTCTTCTCTTCTGGAATGCCTTGGCTCTACAACTATCCAGCTGCGGCCGGCTTTTCGGCCCTGTAGACGGTCATATATACTTTACACTGAAGCGTCCATCACCGCGTCCCCTGAGGGCGCCCTTTTGATTCTTTGCCGTCTAGTCTCGTAAATATGGGCGTAGTCCACGGCCTCATAGTTATGGCGTTCCATACACCTCGCCCATCAAACAATCTTGAGGAAATACTACTTCCAATATCCTGAGGCTGCTGACGGATATGGCAGCTTATTGAGAGTCATAGACACATCACATTCAGTTAAACCTGCTGCAGCATGTGACCAGTATTTGCCCCTTCTGTCTCATGCGGGAGGATCCGTCGGCTTCCAGCGACACTTGCAACAAGCAGGTCGTCTCGTCAGATTTGCGAGATCCTCGGGTCTGCCCGCGATCTAGAACACCATTAGTAACTATATACTATGTGAAACGGTGCTGTTCGTATTTCTCCGGACACGCGTTGTTGGCCAAGTCAGAAAGATGGACGCATCCCCATGGAACTTGCAACTCGCGAGTATAACACGGAGTATGCAAAACACACGGCAGGGTCTACGCTTCCTTTCAAGTACATGCAACATGGCCTTGTATTTGCTACTTTACAGGTCAGTTCAAACGAAGCGCCGAGGGGCGTTTGTGAATGCGGTTCTTGAATTAGATTACTCTCGAGCCCTCGTCAAGGAACCGAGCGCCGGACCTATCTCCAGACACATCTCGCTCACTATACAACGGTGCCTAAAACAATCTCATAAGCATCAGGGCTAGGAAAGAAACCGAAGACAGAGCCGGAGTTGTGAAAAGCAAAAGTGCATGGCAGGCCACTACCAGTGCTCGTACATGCAAAGCGCTACCACTCCATATGGCCCAACGTTACAAACGACCTTGGAGAGAAGAGACAATGTCTATCACTCAGGAATGTTGCAGCCAACTCAGCATTCCCAAGAAGGGAACTTTGTCCCAGAATTCGATTCCTTCTCGATCAGCAATCTCTTTGACTCTTTCGGCTACATATGGAACTTCGTTCTACGGGAGATGATCACGGAATATCCGGCGAGCCTTGGGGGAGCGGGCTGGGAGTACCCGAGACATGATGTCTGGGGGATCATCAGGAGGCGGTGGACTATCGTCGCAGTGCCTCTACAACTACTTCTTTCTTGATCTAGTATTTCCAATGCCATTAACTCATCAGATCCATATCCAAATAATTGACAGAGTCAAGACTTGTCCATACAGTATCGGCAACGGTTTGTTAAAAGAACACGCATCCATACAGTAAAGTAATACAGTACATACAGCTCGCAGAATCGATGACGACGGCGATTACTCCATCCAGATCCCAGCACTGCAGATCCCTTCCATGTCATCAAGCTACGTCAACATTGAATCAAGCAAAAATCTGCTGGCATTTCATGAGCATCATCTTATCATTTCCTTTCGTAAAAAGCCTCTCCCAGTCATTCCAGGATGGGGGGAAGGGGGGGTTACATCCCGATACACATGTCGCTTCCTTTTCCCCCCCTTTCTTTTTCCCATCCTTTTGGCAAAACAGCAAATCTGATGACTGCTTTCTTGAAACGTAGAAATACACAAGGTAGCCTTTTTTTGGTACAAAAATTGACTTATTATTGCTTCTGCATATCCTTGCAGAGAACCGACCGGACGTCGGTGTTGCGGCGGATGTTGACAGGGGTATTCGAGGTCGTCACATACAGAATTGCCGTGCCAGTATCACAGTTGTTAGACCTGGAGAGAAAAAACGGAGGGAAAACCCGGTGTTAGCTGAAAGAAGTAACAGACAATAACAACAGCCATCTTTTAGGGAGAGGGTTTAGGAAACTCACGAGTAGAGAGTACAGAGCCTAGAGGAGGGAGAGTTCGGCCACAGCTTTGCCGATAGAACATGGCCATATCTTGAACAAAACTCGTTAGCAGGAATTACTCTTTCTTTGGGGCCCATGACAGAGTAAGGAAAGACAGATGTTTGCATACAGAGGGTTGACGACTTTGACGCAAGTGTCCAAGCTGCGGACGTCGAACTGAGGCCCTGTCCAGCCAAACTCACGATACAAGGTCACCTATTTTCATATTTCGTTAGCAGACAAGATTTCAGAGCTTATTATCGAATCCATCAATGAAATAATAGAATGGCGAGGAATGGGGAAAAGAAGGGTAATGACTGACAAGAGGAGCCACAGGAATGTCTTCGACGGGAGCAGCCGCGACGCATGTCACCCAAAGGTATGGCAGGAAGTTGGACAGAAGCATGGCTACAGACCACCAAAAGAGTCGAAACCAAGAGTTCTTCGAAATTGAATTACGTTACACTCTTTTTAATTCCTTTCCAAGAGACCGTTTGGGTAGAAAAGGGCGTCTGGGCAACAACAGCAGAAAAAAAAAAAGGAAGAAATGGAAATGTTTTGTCTAGGAATATGGAACAAAGATCCCGCCACGAAATGGAAAGCAATAGCATCAGCCTTCCTCTCCTCCCCTTCTTATACATACAACGTAGTTTTAGTTATATAATCCAGAAACTACCTACACCGTGCCCTTTCACCTTTTTTTCTCACCTTTATTACCTTATATCTGGGTCTCCGGGGGGGAGGCGGCGCGGGTCTTGCTTCCCCCTCTCCCCCCAAGGAAAGCCTGCTTTTTTCTTTCGTCCAAGAATTGCTAAACTACCTAATGCAAGGATCGTCCTTTTGCTAGTTGGCTATTTGTCAAGTTCCGGTTTTCCCTTTCTCCGCAAATTGTGTGTTTCACATGACGCTGCTTTGCTGTGCGATGCCCATTGGTAGGTAAGTTGCTAAGATTAATACTACTACTACTACTACTACTAGTAGTATTGAGCTGTGAGCAAAGGGGAGGGAGAGGCCGATCCGACTTCCGAGACATGTGATACTAGTATTCGTAGCGGTTGAGAAATATAACAACTCGTACGAGCGCAGCCGCCCTGCTTAACTAGCAGCTGTCTTATACATAATTTTGCTCTTTTTTTTTGTGTTTTTTTGCGCTTTTCTTGTATGGTTTACCATGTATTCTGTGAACCAACGGAAGTCGGGAGTTGTTCGCTCTCGTAAAGCCGATGCTCGCCCTTTTTTCCCCATCAATCTAACCTTGGACCAACGAGCCTAAAGCTCAGTCATGTTCAATGGCGTATACTGTTACTACTACTACTCCCTTCAGACCTCTGAGTCTATAAATAAAATAGTAAAAAGGTACCAGTATTGTCCGCGTGGAAACAATGTCGCCATGCTCACCATCATCTTGATCAGTCAGGATAAACCCAATCTTGCAAAAAGGGGGCGACTTTGATTCCTATAATTCTCCAAGAGTCAAGCGGGCTCTCACAAAATCCCCAGACGAAATACTCGGCCATTCCGGTCTCACATAAACTCAGCAGCTATACTGCATTGAGGGCATCAGTCACCAGGCTTACTGACATCAAATCGTCGGATATATGATATCTCCAGACGACAGGACGGCGGCTGCACACTTCAGCCAAAAGTCAAAACTCATCTCCCCCCGGCAGTATCCCCACGATACCCTTAGTCGCGTTGGAAGACTTCTTTGGACGCGGAATAGCCTCAAACCGAGCGGTTCGTATGTATTATCTCGCAGTCAATACTGCTCTTCAATCCAATCTATCAACAAGTACAATTCCCGCTTCGGCATGAAGCAGCGTTGAACAACCCAAACGGACGCTATCCATCCCTATCCCTGGCCCTTTCCCAAACGCCAATATCCTGCAGAAGCAAAGCCCGGCCTACCATGGTGACATTATCAAGATACTACAATAAATCAATCGAAAAGTTGTTCTTCCGTCAAGAACTCTAGCTGGGTGGACGGGTCATCCACCGCCGTCAGCAGATTGTGCGTGTATTCGTTGGCCAGGCTGTTGCCCGCCGTCCACTCGTTGCGACGTCGGTGGATCTCATTCATGCCCTGGCACGCCGTCTCGGCAATGTAGTGCAGCTCATCGAGCGTGTTGGGATTGCAGTTGGTAAACACGCCGTCGATGCTCTTCTGCCATCCCGAGGTGGTGTTCTCCACGGCAGTCTGATACGCATTGGTATCGTAGTCGACAATTTGCACGTAGTCGGGTCGATCAGTGAGCCGTTGAAGGAGGTAGTCCTCCCGGGAGTCCTGGGGGAGGTATTCGACGGGATCGCCGGCTGGGGTGGGAGGCTGGCGGATGCCCATGACGACTTCGACAAAGCGCTGGGACAGGCTACGCGCTATGCCGCAGGGGTCGATGAGGTCAAAGTCGGGGCTGGTGACGATTTCGTCTCTGATGTAGAGGTCGTACGCAAGGAACGAGGCTCGGCAGATGCGCAGATTGGGCATGGTACAGCGCAGCATCATGGCCATCCAGTGATCGTCCTCTTCAGGCCGCTGATTGGCGATGCCAACCCAGAGAACCTTCTTCGAGTTGTAGTTCCAATCACGGGACTGCTCCGTCTTCAGGTACACCTCGTTAAGGTACAGCTCCTCCATGAGGGCTCCGAACTCCTCGCTGAATCGTCTAAAAACCTCTGGGGAGATCTCTACTCGCTTCAGCTCCAGGCACGTCAGGTTATCAAGCATGATCCGAGGCGGCGGCAGCACACGTGCTCTCCACTCCTCCAAGGGCATCTGGTTGGACCTGGTCTGCTTCAATCCCCTGGGCGGCCTGTCGTCATGCTCCATTCCGATGATGCACAAGGTCTCGAGATGCTGTGCGTGCTCTATAATGTTCCAAAAGCACGACCCAAACATGCTCACACGCGGCGGATCGGTCTCGTGCCGACGGAGGGCTATAACGAGGTGCTTGAGGACTGCCACAGTGGCCATGATGTTCATCACATCGCTAGGGTTCATCCACAGGTGGCAGACGGCAATGTCGGTGACGTTTTCCAGCACCAGGACCTTCATCGAAGCCGAGTCTTCCTCCGGGCGCGAAGCCAGTGCCTTGAAGGTGTTGGCGAGGATGATGGTGGCCGCGTTGCAGTGTCGGCCCACCAGTTGGAACGGCAGGCTCAGCCGCAGCCGCTCGACATCCCGGCAGTTGAAGAGGAGAGCCTCGACGGCCTGGTAGTACTCCTTCTCGGTAAAGGACATCTCGCCCATGCAGTAGAGGTTCTGGAGCGACTGGCAGAAGTCCATCATCCAGGGGACGCGGGCAAAGACTGTGTTCAGAAAGTCGACCTCCACTGGCAGAGAGCTAGTCAGCTAATTACACTCGCGATCCAGTTTCCCTGCACCCATCTTACTCTCGTCACGAAGGACCATCAGGTCGATGTAGAGGCTCTTGCAATGATACCCCACCGTCTGCAGGGCATCCGTCCGCGGCCGGCCAAGGCGACTCGTCTTGCTGAGGCGCGAGAACTCGAGCTCCAGGGTGCGGCATGCGTAAGGCTTGAGGATCCGGTCAAAGGCCTTGCACACGAGCCGGAGGTCGAGGACGGCATTCTTGGGGCCGGAGTGGACGCAGTGCAGCAGGATGGCGTCGATGAGCTCGGTGGGCAGGCGATTCATCGCGTCGGCTGGTGGGCTGGAGGCGGGGAGGGCAAGGCCAGAGCGCCGGGATGCATCTGGGCCTGGACGGAGAGGGCGAGGAGACGACGAGATGCGCGCTTGCGAGTGTCGGGGTTCGATATCGGCGGGCAAGGGGCAGGGAAAGAAGCTGGAGTTGGGCAATCTGGTAGTAATTAAACAGGCTGCATGTGCTTGGTTGGCGATGACATGACGAGATGCACGTCGGGAGGTTATTAGCGTCGATGGCGCTACACAGTATCCAAAGGGGTGTCTGCTATCTTATCGGTGGTTGTCAACTGGGGTATTGTACTCCGTAAGTGGTGCCGGGATATACTATCTTAGCTACCCTGGAGTTGAGCGTGATATGGGGGGTCGCGCTGGTCGAGTATGCACAGCAATGGTCCAGTGACAGCCGCAACTGGAAATACTCCACGGACGAGGTTCAGTTAGAGCCCCCAAAAGCGGAGGTTGCCTGCACTGGCGAAAGGAAACAGTAGAGTCAAGAGCTCTCATTGTTGGGGATCAGCCAAAGTGTTGCACTGCTTCCAATAGCGCCGAGAAAGGGTCTGGCTGCTGAACCTTGCACCAACCTCTGAGACCCCTACTCCGTACAATGGATAGCGTAACGCAATAGAGCCACGAGATCTCACTCATTGAGACCAGAAGCACGTCAGGATTCGGACGCCAATGGCATCACAGTAATTGAAGGTACTTGGCATCGCACAGGTGGTGGTTGTTCAGACTTGCCGTACCTCATGATGAGTCAGCAGAATCCCCAATACCTCTAAGCTGCAGCTCGGGAATGGCCGCGGGTCTGTACAAGGTGGATCCGGTGGCGGCTGGCGGCCGAGACTAGCGGCATCTTGCAGGCGGAGAGAGATTTGGAGACGATACGGAGCAGAGAGAGGCTTCGTCTAGGCGCACCGGGGCAGCCAAACGCTCACCGTTTAGGGGGGCAGCACTATTATCCGAGGCAACGGGTCGAAAGGGATGGCCGGTGTTGGTATCGTCTCTCAAGTAAGCAAGACACGGAGTCGGGAGGCCTGCCTTGTATGACGGAGCACAGGATACAAGTAGAGCCTGGAATGGCATCACAGAATCTCCATCTCGTACCCAACCTGAAGGCGAACGACGGAAATTAAAAGCAGATGACAAACGTTCAGAGATTCAACTGTCTGGGAGCAGAGCCTCGACGCAGGAACAAGGTCGGCGTTGACATCTGACCCCGTGACCCCTCTGGTCCGGACGAGAATAGGGAGAGTGGAGGAGAGGCCTGGACCAGCTGACTGCGCCCGATCTCGTACGCAGCACGCCGACGATAACGACGAGAAAGGAAGAGACACGACGAGGGCCACAAGGGAGAAAAGGGCAACCTTTGTTAAATTACCGAAATTTTTACAGTCTCGAGACGGGTATCAATGCTCCATAGAGCCCACCAGGTCGGAGCCGTGGCAAAGAAGGGAGGCCAAGGGCTCGTTCGGCTCTGCGATGCCGGAATGAGGGATGCCTGCGTGGACTCGAAACAGTGGTGACGGCTGCGAATTTTTGATTCTCGACAGCCAAACAGGAGCCAGCGGGAGGTCGGGCAAATATTGGATCTTCGGGAATGAGATTGGTGCGCCGTAGCACGAGTGCAAAACACCATACATATATCTGGCAGTGTAAGGAATAGATAGTAGTAGTACTATAGTATCAGCATGCGAATTCGAGGACATGGCAATCCAAAGATGATCGATCGGAAAAGAGACATCACGCAATCGTGCAGCTATGGATCGACGATGGTCAGAGGATGGTGTTGAGGCGCACACCCACGGATGTTCAGTTCAGCCACACGGTGGAAATTGACGTCTGATGGAATCCACTGCAATACTATCCAGATGCAGAGATGGCTGCTTACTTACCTCCTACAAGAGTGCTTCGTAGATGAGCTAGGGGGAGATCTCACCTTCTAGATGGTGCACACTCTCCTCCCTTCTGGGTACTTCCTAGCATGAGTCCAGCTTTCGAATACAGGCTGAATGCGAAAGGGTAAGGTATTTGTTGCGAGGTGCTTCTTCGGCTGGTCGTGTCTGGCCGCGTCGTGTCTTGTCTGCATTGAGGAGGTTTCATCGGCCTTTTCAGCGATAGGTCCATAAGGTACGATACAATAGCCAAGGGACGGGGACATCAGAAGACTCAGAAGTGACCGGGGGAGGTGCGAAACGATGGCTGGCATGTACCTCGGGCCCGTGCAGATGTACCTCTGCTCCCTGCCAGGTACCGCCAAGTCTCTGCAAGCGTGGCCCAGGGGAAATCGGCACGAGTTGCGGGGCGCAATTGGCGTGTCTGATTGGCGAAGCCCCCCCCTCTGTCGGAAGCTCAACCCAGCTTTTTTTTTTTTTTTTCTTTTTCCTTCCCTTTGGCGGACGGAACACAGTGGAAAGCTCCCGCCACAGCAAGAGAGGGAGAGAGAGGAGGGAGCCGTCTCTTCAATCTGGTCCCTCCTATCCGCTTGTGCGGCAAGCCGGCTCCATGAGAGTAGTACTTGTACTTAATCTTTGGGGAAGGGTAAGAAGTGAATCGCAGAGGAAATGAGCGTCAGCAGCGCATGGCAATTAAAGTGATGATGCCGCATTGAGAGCCGCAGGAGGCGCCGGCGCCGACGTTGCGTGGCCCTTTTCTGGTGAGGGGGGGAGCGTCCTGGTATTTGTACTCTTGCAGAGAGCGCGGTATAGGAGCGCGAGGGTCGCATGGACGGAAAGTTTGAGGGAGCAGTGCTGAAACGCTTCTGTGGTGTCCACGATGAAGCTGCCGCATGACCGTCCCCCTGTGTACGATGACACACTGGTGATGTTGAGGGCAAGAGTGAGCACCTTGATAACGTGTGTCTAGTATTGTACTTCGTGCCTGTAGGTACTAACGTATGCACCCCTTCTGATCTTTGCAGTGGCCGTAGCGACAACGACCATGACGACGACCCTACAGGAGATGGTTGACTCAGGTCTGTCTCTGCCAAGAGCAACAAACAGAGTCGGAGGGAGCCGACGGAACCAAGAGAAGGGCAGACCGTCTTCTGTGGCCGTCCGCTGGTCACATGCACTATTCTTCGGGCACTTGTACGAGGCGGAGAGGGGGTGCCACAGCGAACCTTCTTTTTCATCGTGTTGCCTCACACACAGGACTGCACACATACCACAGCATCGCCATTATCGTACATACCTAGCTGAGGTGATGGCTTTTGTGACCTGCTCTGCTCGCCAAAGTACGGACGGCTGGGTTGAGAGCAATGGGTTGTCAATGGACGGCAGTCAGTTTCCATTCCCAACCCCCTCCCAAGCAGTGCTTCGTCCTTATCGTGCCATCATCACATCGTCCCCCCTGAACAAATGAACCCGCTAGCTCGAGTGCCAGCACCTACCTACCTACCTACGATACAAAGGGCCTACAAGTACGTGCTAGACCACGGACTAAGACTCCCGGCATCTTGGCGCGCAAGCCTGGATACGGAATAGGGCCGTGACAGCGACCGCCTCGATTACGACATTGTGCTTTTGGCGGGTGGTGGGTTCACGATGCTACGAGGTGCCTACGAGGTGCCTACCGTATTCCTGCTGCTGTCTCGCCTGGTCGGGCTCTGAGTCGAGTCGCCGCCATGGCAACGCCAGAACGCGCTCGTGAAAATAAAAAGGGCAGCACAACCTAAGGGCATCGCAGCGCAGCATCAGGACAGGCACCGACACAGACAAGGCGCAAAGAGTCCAGACCGGCACTCAACCCACGTGGAACAGCGCACGGCGAGGCAGCTGGGCGTTTGCCCGTGTTGATGCCTTTTTCCATGACATCAAGATGCGTCTGGCGCCAGTCTTTGTCGGGCACGAAGCGAGGCTTTCAGCCACGCGAAGCCACTGGGTAGTTGTACTCTTCAGTACGGTAGGGTAGGTACCTCGTAGCAGTGTAATCCTTCGTCGACCGTAACTTTCGTTTCATGCACAAGAGGAATCCGTTAAGCGAACGGAAGAGCGGCCCAAGTCTCGTCCTCGTCCCTCACCTCCAAAAGGTACCTTTCACCCTCTGCCCATGAGAATCCGCCCACACCACCACGACAGAAGCCCCCCCGCCCTCCTCTCACCTCTTCCGGCAGCCCCAAAAGGCACCTCAAGCCCCATCCCTGGCCGCCGTTGTTAGTCAACACGGACAACTCGGCGTTGGTGGCAGCCATTGGGCCCTGTGATTGGCTGTGCCCTGGCGTGTCTGGCCTTGGCGGGCCCCGGCCTATCAGACAGCTCGGGGCTGGACCTGGCGGTACATGCAAGGTGCCTGAAGTCTCTCGAGGTACTTGGGGTACCTGCATGCGGGCCGCGGTACTTCCAGCCCAAGAGCAAGGAAAGGCAGCGCAAGAGCGCAGCAAAACAAACTGGAAGATACAAAAGTGAAGAGGCCATGCCGGAACTGCCACCCACGTTACTTGGGCTGGCCCCATCCGAGTACCTACAGTAATGTACACGCCTGTCCCGGAGTGGGCAATCAAAAAGCGTCGCCGCTTTCCCATGGTCTGTTCGTCGGCCTCGCCCTTGCTCTTTCTCGTCGCTCTGCTCTCTTATTTAGGTGACGGTCCTGACAGCTGGCAAGCCTTTGGCTCTTCTTTCCTCCTCCTTCCCTTCCCGCCTTTGACCCAGTAATAAACCGAGGACAAAAAAAACCTTGCTCGACCGGGGCTTCGCTTTTTCTTCTCCTTCTCACAACTCCATCACCCGCATCTGCATTCAGCATCAGCATAATAGCCCGTCTTCTCTGACGCCCGTCGCCCGCCTCGCGTTTCCCAGCCTCCCCCCCGTTCTTGGAGTTTTGCCTCGTCTGCGGTCTCTGTGCCCTTCTGTTTTATTATCTCTACACTTGATACCCCCTGGTGAATCTTTCGTCAGCCAAAACAACGACTCTCAAGATGCGATCCTCCGCCGTTTTCGTTGCCGTCGCCGCTGCTCTGGTGTCGGCCCAGGTCCCGACCTACAAGAGCTCTCTTAACATGACTATTGATCCCAACTCTGTTGCCCAGCAGCAGCGAGGTAAGACACACTCTCGATTCCTGATTTTCCCTCTCGCCGCCGAGTGTTTTGGTGCACGATTGCGCGAAAGCTCTCGAGCAGAGGTCTATGCTTTGACTGTTGCGATTTCGGCCTAAGAAGCGGTTTGCTAATTTTCCTTATTTTTTTCTCGCCTCTAGCCGTTTGGTGCCAGGCCCAGACCAACACTTGCCAGGTCCTTTGCGACAACAACGCCGATGAGAACGATTGCGACCAGGTGGGTTTGTCCGCAATCGTAGCCGCAGATCGATCTGCTGGTTTTTTTATGGGCGGAACAGGGAACATGCGCTGATCCATGCTCGTCTTGTCACAGGCTACTCTCAAGTACGACTGCACGTGCGCCTCCAACAGCTCGGCTCCTGGTCTCCAGTACTACACCCAGACGCTGCCCACCTTCATCTGCGAGCAGCTCTACGCCACCTGCATTCAAACCAACGCTGGCAACCAGGACGGCCAGAGTGCTTGCAAGAATAACATCCAGAAGCTGTGCGCCACTCAAAACCCTCCTACCGCCGCCGAGGTTAGCAGCGCCGAAGACCAGAGCACCGCGGCCGCCACCACCACCACCAAGGCTGCCTCTACTCACCATGCCACCACCACCGCGACTCAGTCCGCTAGCAGCGCCGCCCAGTCGACCACCTCCAGCGGTTTCGCTGCCGCTACCCTGGGTCCTGCCGGATCTGGTGCCTTTGCCATCGCTGCTGCTGGTCTCATGGCCTACATGCTCTAGATGAGCTGAGAGGTGTTTGAATCCGAGCTGCTGGCTGTTTGGTCTGACGACCCCAGTCCCCTGGTAATGGTATGCACTCTGTGGAGGAAGAAGAAAGGGCACTGGGCCGATGCTTGGTTGAGGAGCTTCGCTCCTCTGTAAACCCAATTTGTTATCTAGTACACTTTTTTTTTCGGTTGTTTCCCATCAGAAACCTGATATCACCCCCCTTAACGAAACCCGAGACGACGAATATGATCGAGGGCTTAATGATGGCTGCGCGTTCTTGTTTTTGTTTTTCATTCCCCCTTGTTTGTCTCGACCGCTTTATTCTTGTTTTACGAAGAGTGCGCCCCGTGGATAGTGCACTCTGATGCATGCCATTACGGTCACCTTTGCATTTAATCTGTGGAAGGCGTAGCAATGGTCGTCGTGTCGACCCGGGGGGAAGAGCCTTTGTTTTTTATTGAGCTTGCTTTTGTATTCCATATTCACATGGCAGAGGCGAAGGGGAGTAGGAAAACTGTCTTGAGCAATAGACAAATGCAAAAAGTCTAAAACGAGCTTGTGTGAAGTGTAGATGCATTGGAGCGATGTCCTGATGTTTACCACTTGTGTAATATGCGGTACCAAGAGTGGACGAAGTAGAAATATATCACAGACATTGATCGATAAACATCAGTCAAGGTTACAACAAATGGTTTCTATAATAGGCATTCACGCCGTAATCTCATTCATCCATTTAACTCGTACCACCACACGTACACTGTTCTCTGTAACATCTCCGTCGCCCAATAACAAATGCAAGTTTGTGTGTGAAACCACATATAAGAGATACTATGACCCGCATATTCCGGGGAATCATATTGATACGCCGTTTCATGCCTAAGCTTTCAAGTACCAAAATTCTGGAACCGTAAAAACCCAATGATGAAAGAAGTCAATTCAGGACTGCTTTTTCCATTGACCCCCCTGCGCACCCAATTTTTGCAGGTTTGTGGTGTGAAAACCTGATTTTGTGTATGCTGCTTTCCGCCGTCTATAAGGTTTGATAACGCTCATGACTCATTGGTCCGAAGACCAGAAACCGACAAAGGGAAGAAAGAATAAGGAATTGAAAATTGGGAAGAAAAAAAAAAAAAATCAAAAGGGGAGGGGAGGATAGTGATTTAGTGGCCGTTGGCGCCGTTGGTGCCGTTGGTAAAGGCGACGGCAAGCTCCAGAGCCTGGAGGACGTCGTTCTTGAGGTCCTCGGCGTCCTCGACACCGCAGCTCAGGCGGACGAGGTCGTCAAAGACGCCGACGGCCTCGCGCTGGTCGCGGGGGATGCCGGCGTGGGTCATGCTGCTGGGGACCTCGCAGAGGGACTCGACGCCGCCCAGGGACTCGGCGAGGGTGAAGATCTTTGTGACCTGGCAGAAGCGCTCGGCGGCGGCGTGGCCGCCCTGGATGCGGAAGGAGAGCATGCCGCCGCCCATGCCGTCGCGGTGCTGCTTGAGGGCGATGTGGCGGTGGGGGTGGGAGTCGAGGCCGGGGTAGTTGACGGCGATGACGTGCGGGGAGGCCTCGAGGGCGTGGGCGACGGTGGTGGCGTTCTTGGTGGCCTCGCGGGCGCGCAGGTGCAGCGTCTTGAGGCCGCGGTGGGCGAGCCAGGAGTCGAAGGCGGAGGGGACGGCGCCGATGGCGTTCTGGAGGAAGCTGAGGCGGGCCTTGAGGTTGTCGCTGTTGAAGGCGGCGACGCCCATGACGACGTCCGAGTGGCCGTTGATGTACTTTGTGACGGAGTGGACGACGATGTCGGCGCCCAGCTCGAGCGGGTTCTGGACGTAGGGCGACAGGAAGGTGTTGTCGACGACGACGAGGATGCCGTGCTTGTGCGCGACGGAGGCGACGGCGCGGATGTCGACGAGGCGCAGCGTCGGGTTGCTGGGCGTCTCGATCCAGATGAGGCGCGTCTGGTCCGTGATGTGCTCGGCAATGTCCACCTCGATCTCGGGCGTGAAGGTCACCTTTACGCCGTGCGCCTTGGCCACCTGCGTGAAGTAGCGGTGCGTGCCGCCGTAGACGTCCGACACGGAGATGACGTGGCTGCCGGCCGCCAGCGACTGCAGGATGTTGGCCGTCGTGGCGCTGCCCGAGGAGAAGGCCAGGGCGTACCGCGCGTGCTCCAGCGCCGCCACGGCCGTCTCGAAGTTGTCGCGGTTGGGGTTGGACGAGCGCGAGTACTCGTAGACGCCGACGGGCTTGCCCACGGCGGACTGGGCAAACGTCGTCGACAGCGAGATGGCCTCGATGACGGCGCCCGTGGCCGGATCGATGGGCGAGCCGGCGTGCACGGCGAGGGTGCCGAAGGCGTGGACGGGCGTCGGCGGCCGCACGGGGGTGGTGACGGGGTCAGAGGTCACGGGGGGAGACATTGTGATTTGTTTTTGTTATGTATAAAAGGCGATTTTGGTGTTGAATTCGGGGAATTGGGTGAGCGGGCAGCGGCGGGTGAAAGAGAGATCCGGATGGTGATCTCTTGTCGCTCTGCAAAGCTGGCGGTGTTGGAGGGGCTGTATTTTTTTTTATGCAGGGTCTGCTTTATCTTATCTGCGGCAGCGCGGAGGAGGAAAAGCTCAGGCCTCGTGAAGATGAGAATGACGTCTTTGATCTGGGTTGATGATAACAAAGACAGTCAACGACGTATGATACTTTTCAACGAAGAAGAAGAAATCATGAATGGAGGAGGAGGAGGCTTCGTAGGCGGACACAGAGGTTCCTTTTCAACAGCAGCTAGAAAGAGAGAAAAAAAAATATTCAAATCGAAAATCTCCACTTCAGGGACAAAAGGCAGGGCAACTCTAAAAATGGTGTCATCCGCCGGCGCTGGTGGGTAATGCGTCAACTGGCTCGTCTCTTGGGCGATTTCTGTTAGTCTGTTAATAGTAGGTAGTAATAGTCATAGTAAGGGGATGCGAAAAGATTCCAGTGGCCGAGAGGGGACGCCCTTTTTATGTAATTGATGGGGAAGACGAAACAGTAGAAAGGCGCAAGGAGAAATTGCTGGCCGCCCTTGCAAATCACATCATTCTGCTTGACGAACAGCAAATCCGCTCCATCAGAGACGGGCTTGTTTCTCCTTGAGTCTCTTTGTAATACACACCGGTAGTGCCGCCGCCGCACGGGCAACATGTACCTAGGTAGTAGTAGCTAGCTATCCTGCTGTAGTACCTTACCTTGGCCGTTGCCGTTGTCCAATTCGTAATGAATCCTGTACTTGGTAAGCCACAGGCCAATTGCTAATATGACGGCGCCCTTTCGAGATAGTTCTGTGTCATGGCGTTATGCAACGGCCATCGCTGGCCTTCGTAATCAGGAAAAGCTCGACCGACATCCGCACCTCCATCACGCTTCGCCAGGGTTGACGAAAGGACGGAAAGAAAATCGATGCGTTGTTCATGCTTGTTGGGGCTTATAGCAGCAGGTGTTGTTTGTTTTCTTTTGGGCACCGGCGGTTATAATACGATGTAGTATGTAGGACCGGCACGTTGCGTCCTTGCCGACCCGGATGCGACACGATGCGGTCTGTGCAAGTGATACTACTTTGACTGGAACTTTGTGATACCCTTACCTTACCCTCTTGGCTATCTTGCGTCGCTTCGGGTGGGATTTGTGTGATTTCGATCTGTCATCCATCCAGTCTGGGCGGGAATCTCACCGCCCCCTCCTCGAGAATCAAAATTAGATCATCGGCTTCTCCTGTGGGTGTCCAACCCCCTTCGTGTTTCTGCCCGCTGGCGAATGGACGTGTCTTGAGCTGTCGATCCGGCTCCCGAAGGTCGTTTCCATTACGAGGCCGGCTTAGCGCCGTTCCGACCGACACGGCGTATTCAGCGCGGCGTATTTCGCCAACTACACGCCATCAATGAAGAGCATGAAACGGTGTTGCTATATAATAGTCGACGCCCTTTGCATCAAATGGAGGAGAACTCCTGCGGCAATGAGTGAAGCCGAACAAACGGCCATTTGTGAGGGGCCTGCTGTCTGCTCGAGTCTGGCTTCATGGACATTGTATTGTCCTGACCGAGCTACATATGTAGGTACTTACTAGCACGACTCAACAGCTGCGGCCAGCGCCGGCTCACAGCTCGGGCACAGTGAAATTGTCTGGAAGAGAGCATTTTCCTGTTGAATCCTCAAGTGCGAGCGACTCTTGGCTTTAATGTTCCATGCGGGAAGCGACCAAGCGCAAGACCCTCCCGACGGTGCTACGATGCCATGTAGGAACGATTCACGTGGTTGCTTTGAGTGTTTGTCTTGCAGGCGTTGGGTGAGACGTGCTTCTCCCGGCTCAATCCTTACATACATGCCTATTTCGTACCTCTTGCAGCCTGGCAAATGGAAGGCAGGAATCTCTCCGATAAGCACATTCAAGCGTCCGCCTCCTCACATTCCACATATCTCACCATCCATTGACGTGATTCGAGTCCATTGTGCCTTGATAAGGCACGGAGTATCCTTTATGTGAGATGGCGGCTCATCTACACACCTCAACTAATCTTATCATATCTCTGCCATCTCAGCTTAGGTACCTGTTGTATGCTCTGTATCACAAAGATGAAGCTGTCCTCAAGTCCATGTACTTGTAACAGGGACTGGAGCAGGCACGGCAACCAACTGACATTTGATTCCAATCTCGCTAATCGTGGCTGCAGCTCACTAACCTGTGCTTTATTCCATTTTCTTTCCTTTTCACTGGAAATGATGTAGGCATCCATATAACGAGGCCCCGGCCAAAGAGCGTGTAATCGGATCTGATAGACAACGTCATCCACTCGATCCTTTCTCCGGCTGTTGATACCAGTACAACTAAACCATTGACCCGGATGCCGCGGGCTTTTGGCCGCTCGCGCTTTTCTGCTGCAGCCCTTCGGAGAAACATAGAGCCCGACAGGAACCCTCCGCGTGGCAGTGCTCAAGCCCAGCCCAGCCCCAGCCGCTGCTGACTAACCGCCTGCAGAAAGGCGTCCCGTCTCGCAGGCGCCCTCGTACTCGTAAAACCTTACCTCTATGCCCATGCCATGCAGAAGCAAGGCTCGCCCCTCCAGACGTCGAGATCCGTCTGTCGCAGTTATCCACCATTGTTTTAGCATCTCGTTCCCCGAGCCGGCTTCGTTGCATCGTCACGCTCCGGCTGCTGCGGCGCTCCAGCTCCAGCCCCTTCAACACTGCCGGATGCTGCGCAATGCACAGGTGAAGAACCACGTCGGAATTCGCGATCTAGCCCCTGCTGGGACACACACCACCTGGAAGCAGTCAGACCAGTCACCCGCAGCCAGAACCACATCTCTGTTAAAAGGCCCGCGTGGCAATGCCGCCTGTGCGTGGCGCATCTAGGACCCTTGCTGCACGCATCATTCCGCGACTTCAACTGTGAAATTCTCAACGCTTTCCATATGCCTCCCAGACGGTCGCACAAAAAGTCGCGCGCGGGGTGTCGGCGCTGCAAAAATCGCAAGATAAAGGTGAGAAAGAAGGAAGAAAAACTGAGGCCGAAAGGGAGGAGAAAAAAAAAAGTCCCCGACAATTTCCCACCGCTTTTGCTCTCCGGCTTCCCAAACAAGAACCTCCTGCGCCTCGCGAATGCACGGGAATCAAGTGCTAATGCCAACTGCTTTCGCTGCCGAATAGTGTGACGAGGTTCATCCACGATGTGGAAATTGCTCCAAACATGGCGTCATGTGTGATTTCGAGAGCCGTCAAGTCCTCGACGAGCTGCACACGACCTCCACCCCGGCTATCAAGAGCCCGCAGGCGCCCATATCCGCGCCCTCTTCAGTGAGCCCGGTGTCCAAGACCGCGCCAGCACCGACGACGGCGACGACTGCGACGACGGCAGCGTCACTAACGACAGCCATGCCTGCATACGATGATCGCCGAATATCGCCGCTGAGACTTTCTCCCCCGTCCACCATCTCGACGCCGTCGCTCACGCTGCCATCGGTTCCCATCATCACGTCCATGACCAGGCAGGGAGACAGGCTCCTGGAGTTCCAGCTATGGCATCAGTACATCACCAGCACTTCCAAGACTCTGGTCATGAACTCTCCTGCCAGTACAGACATCTGGCAGAAGGACGTACCGCGCTTCGCTCTCGAGGGACGGACATACTTGATTGATGCCGTTTTGTCAGTGGCTGCTCTGCACTTGCGCTTCAAGAACCCCGATGACAGGGTCATGATCGAGGCCTCCCATGCCTACTCGGCGTCTACCTTGGCGGAGTACTGCCGCTCATTGAACAAGGGCATCACAGCAGAAAACGCAGATGCCCTGTTTCTCACCTCGTGCCTCATTGCGTTCCAGGCCACGGCCTCTCGGCTGTTTGTCAAGGAGGACGGGGACCCATCGGACCCAGGCGACTCGCATCGCCGATATGCGCTGCCGCTCTCCTGGTTTCACGCTTTTCAAGGAGTCAAGACCATTGTGGCCACCTCCTGGCAGTGGATCCGCAACAGCGCTACCGTCAAGGTCGTTATCGACTCTCAGCCAGGCTTCATGGACTTGAACCCCCTGGGTCCCGATTCCTTCTTTGGCCATCTTCTTGATGGCTTGGATGAGGAGCTGGAACAAGAGGACGAGGCCCACCGAGCGGCCACTAACCAGGGTTACTTCCATGCCGTCTGCGTTCTTAACTGGGCTCATAAGAACCACTACGCCCCTTCCGCGCTGGCTCTTCCATCAACAGTTTCGCGTCGTTACGTTGAGCTGGTCGAAGCCAAGAGACCTCGCGCGCTGGCTATTCTCGCCTGCTTCTTTGCGCTGCTCAAACGTATGGACAACGTGTGGTGGCTGGATGACGTTGCCCGTCGAGAGGTCATGGGCCTTGTGAGCCTATTCGAGACCGGCTCGAAATGGTGGAGGCATCTCGAATGGCCCATCAGAATTGCGCTGTGGGACGGAGAAGCTGATGCTATCCCGGCCGAGATATGGGGCGTGGAGCGCAAGGAGAACCCAAGCATGCCGTCTGCAGAGACGATACTGAACCACATCGACCTGATGGCCAAGATGATGGACAGCACCCAAGGTCCGCAGTCAATAGAGTCGATACCCGTGGTGGGTGATCTGGGCGGCTTGGTTCCTCCGCCCCTCGACTGATTTACCCCCCCAGGACACCCATTCCAGAAGTGTATGATTACGGCTGGCTTTGTGGCCGTTGGATTTCGTTTGTTCGTGTCATTTTCTGTCCATGTTTTTGAGCCCAGGTTTTGATCAAGAAGGCGGCGTTGGTGTTCATGGCAATCACATACAAGATATACCAGCATGTTGATTTTCTTTTCTTTTCTTTTCTTCCCTTCCACCTTACTATTATTGCTCTTTGTTCTATCTTAAACCCCCTTGACCCCGAGGTTCCTGGTGTTTACACATGTCTGTTGTTATCGAAAGCGTGCAGTACAGTCGCTCACATATTCTTCTCTATGGGCTTACACGGCGTTGGGAAAGGGATGAACGGACAACGCGACGGCCTGATGATGGGACTAGTGATTGAAGCTCTTTGGAGGTTCTAATTAGATGTTGATACGGGGGCGACATTACGACACATAATACCGTGAAGATCTGTAACGAGTTCTTGATGAACATGACCACCTTGTTTTCTTTACACTTGAGAGACTTACACTGCTTGTATCATATTGAGAGGTGAACGGAGCGGGATTGTTATGACTGAGCCGATGAATGCGAACCGATGGAGAATGCCAAAGCCTGTGAACCCAGACGCGTCACACCATCTATCATGATGTTTTGACATGAAATCTTGAGGATACTATATAGCAGTAATTGATAGAGCCGAATATGAAGCCACCCAAGGCGCCAAACTCCAGTTCCAAGCAGTTAACCACGCCCACCAACTTTCATTCCTAACTTCTTTCCCAATTCTTTCATCATCCAAGTGCTCGCCAGCTTACTTTCTTGCCCTCTTAGGCTCATCCACAATAACGTCCTCCAGCTCAACCCCGTCATCACGAGACCTCTTCAAGCCCTTCATCTTCCTCGTCTGCAGCTGGCTCAAGTCCTGCTTGCCCAAGTGCACACGACCAAGCTTGTCACCCATCGAGTCCATGGTGACGTTCTTCTTCGTCCGCTCCTCGACGCCGCGCGGCTTCTTCATGGCCTCCTTGAGCATGGCCTCGTCGGCCTCCTGCATGCGTCCCACCCGCAGGTCCATCCGGGGCCCAATCTCCTCGACCTCGACGCGGGGCAGCTTCTGGCCGCTGCGCTTGGTGCTGATGGTGTAGACGCGCAGGTGGATGGTGGGCTTGGCGTCGCCCTCACCGGCGGCGTCCTCGGCGGCGATGGAGATGATGTACTGCAGGCCCTCGACGTCGATCTTGTCCGACGGCTCGCCCTTGAAGTAGTCGATGAGGATGCTCTTGGCGAGGGTGTACTCGTTGGGCACGGGGCTCTCAAAGGCGCTGCCCGCGAAGAGCAGCATGGGCCGCATGCCGATGGCGAACTTCTTGGTCTTGAACTGCGCGATGGAGCGGTACGTCTCGGGGTCGAGGTGCAGCTCGAGCATGTCGAGCACCTTGTGGCCAAACGTGCGGATAAAGGTCATGGCGTGCGGGCGCTTCTTCTGCGAGGACCCAAAGACGAAGAGGCTGGCGTCGTTCTTCTCGGAGAAGAACTCGATGGAGGCGGCGTCCTCGAACGGGTGGATGGGGTTCTTCTTGGTGAACTTCTTGGAGAGGGGCTGGCGCATGGCAAAGAGGTCGTTCATGGCGTCCTGGACGACCTGCGAGCAGTTGTTGCCGCGGAGGAAGAGGCATGTTTTGGGATTTTCGTTGGCCTTGGGCTCGCGCTTCTCGAGGGCTCGCTTAGAGCGGGCGTTTCGGGGTTTTCTGGGGGGGAAGTTTTGTGTGTTAGATTGCTTGACGATTAGGGGGAATTGTAAAGAGTGTGAGTTGTGTTGGGCACTTACACTTGACGAAGCATTGTGAAAGATTGGGCAATGGCTGTAATTGCTCTCCTAATGTGAGTTGTACCACCAAGGGCCGTCGTGATGTCTATTCTTCTGAAGCAAAGGAAGAAAAAAAAGTGTTATCGATAGAGCAGCAAGCTTAGGCTGCACCGCCACGACTGGACGCCGCTCGTACTCGTATCAGCGCTTCTCACCAGCCACAGCTACAAAACCCCCCCCCCCCGTTGGCCTGCAGCGGCATCCCCGCTATCACGTGCAGCCCCTGAGGCCTCAGCCCCATCGCGTCTCCGTCACCACGAGATGAAGCTGACCAACTCGGACGGACCGGCGACAGCCTCGGTAGGCGCCTTTCCCCACACAACAAACAAACATACAGTACTCGTACCCGTTTCTCCTGCAGGTGGAAGTGCCTGTCTGTAAGCGCCGGGGACCTCGTTTGTTTTTCTTCACAAGCAGGAGCCCTTCTGCTGTCCTTGTTCCTTGTTCCTGCATCTTTCCCGCCACGTCGTGCGTCTGTGTCTGTTGGACCACCGCTGAGCATTGCATCAGGCTGCCACCGAGTCCCATTTGATATACTACATATCGCCGTCCGTGTGTTTGCCGCTTGCATTCTATCCGCCTTCTATCTCTTCCTCTTCTTCTTCGTTTTCGATTCTTCTCCTATTCGCTGCCCGCAGAAACACGACGCCAACGACGATCGATACCCCGTGTACATACCTGCATATACCGCATTTCATACATCAGTCCATACATACATCGCCATCATGTCGTTCATGGGAGGTGCAGAATGCTCCACGGCTGGCAACCCCTTGAGCCAGTTCCAGAAGCACGTTCAGGATGACAAGACACTACAGCGAGACCGCCTCGTCGGTCGGGGACCCGGCGGCCAGTTGGGCGGCTTTCGTAGCGCGGCTGCGAACGCTCCCCAGGACGAGGTACGTGTCTGATATTATGTGATTGTTCTGTTTACATCGCCTCAGAATGCGCATTACTAATACATGTCGCCTGCAATGGTGTTTTGCAGATGATGAATGGTTTCCTCAACGCCGGCCCAGGTCTTCAACAGGAGTTTCCTACCTTGCAAGGCGGGCCCGGTGCCCAGCTGAGCCCGGCACCAATGGCCAACTCCATGGCGCCGTCGATGGCGCCGCAATGGGCACAGGACTTTAACGCTCAGGGCGGCATGGAGGTCGTATACCAGGCGTCGCCGAGTGCTCTTTTTAGCCCCGAAGAGTTTGCCCGCTTCCAACAAGCCAACCCTGCGGCTGCCGCGGCAATGGCGCCTCAGATGCGCGGTGACATGTCCTCTGCGATGGCCCAGCAGCGGCCGATGATGGGCATGGGCATGGGCATGATGGGCGGCATGCCGATGGGGTACGGTATGGCCAACCAGTCGATGATGCAGCCGATGTTCCAGCAGCAGCAACAGCAACAGCCTGTCCAGCAGCAACAACAGGACCTCAAGGGCAAGGGCAAGATGGTCGAACTGGACGATAGCAAGTGGGAAGAGCACTTTGCCCAGCTCGAACTCCAAGACAAGGAAGAAGCCAAGGAGGCCGAGAAGCAGGCCAACGCCGCCGAAGGAGAGCTGAACGAAATGGACAAGAAGCTCCAGTCGGAAACTAATGAGTATGGTGACTTCGAATCCATCTGGAAAGGAATCCAGGCTGAGACTGCTGCTGCTAGGTCGATGGTGAACGAGCAACAATACTTTGATCAATTCGATACCGAATGGGGCCAGGACCTCATGCCCGACTTCAACGGAATCAACGACTGGGGACGGTTTGCCGACCCCATTGTCGAGAAATACATGTTCGAGCAGGAGAATATCTTCCGCGACCAGAAGAATGCCTTCGAAGAGGGTGTCCGGGTCATGAAGGAGGGAGGCAACCTGTCGCTGGCTGCCTTGGCGTTTGAGGCTGCCGTTCAGCAGAATCCGGAGCACGTCGAGGCTTGGGTATATCTTGGATCCGCTCAAGCCCAGAACGAAAAGGAGACGGCGGCTATCCGCGCGCTGGAGCAGGCCCTGAAGCTCGACCCTAACAACCTGGATGCCATGATGGGTCTTGCTGTCTCTTATACCAACGAAGGCTACGACAGCACAGCGTACCGAACTCTGGAGCGATGGCTCTCTGTCAAGTATCCCCAAATCCTGGACCCCACGAATCTTCACCCCGTTGCGGACATGGGATTTACCGATCGACAGCAGCTGCACGACAAGGTCACCAACCTCTTTATCAAAGCAGCCCAGCTCAGCCCTGACGGCGAGCACATGGACCCCGACGTCCAAGTCGGACTGGGCGTGCTGTTCTATGGAGCAGAGGAGTACGACAAGGCCGTGGACTGCTTCCAGTCTGCTCTTCACTCTTCCGAGCTGGGTACGACAAACCAGCAGGAGCAGCTTCACCTCCTCTGGAACAGACTTGGCGCTACCCTCGCCAACAGTGGCAGATCAGAAGAGGCGATTGCGGCGTACGAACAGGCCCTGTCCTTGGCCCCCAACTTTGTTCGTGCCCGTTACAACCTGGGCGTGAGCTGCATCAACATCAACTGCCACCAAGAGGCGGCCTCTCACTTCCTTGCCGCTCTCGACATGCACAAGACGATTGAGAAGTCTGGCCGCAGCAAGGCATACGAGATTCTGGGCGAGGGTTCCGCCGGCCAAGTCGACCAGGCTCTTGACAGAATGTCTGCCCAGAACCGCAGCAGCACTTTGTACGACACCCTGAGGAGAGTGTTCACCCAGATGGGCCGGAAAGATCTCGCCGACAAGACGGTCCCCGGCGTGGACCCCGACATTTTCAGACCCGAGTTTGAGTTTTAGAGGCTTCCTGTTGAGCGGTAGCTCGATTCTTTTGAGCATGAAGACATTTAGCGGAGTCATGTAATGAGTTGACATAGTCTTGTTTCCACATTCTTACACGGGAAGCATTCGATAAGTTCTTGTAGTTACGATGGACATTTCTACATATTTGGACAAAATGAAAGAGAGAAGGGGGGATTTCAGTCTTGAAAGAATCTTCCCCAGGAGTATAATTTGTTTAGGACGTAAGCGGGCATGGGATATATATGGCTTTTACACAGAATTACATGAACATGTACGAGATTGGATACTACAATACTTTAGTTGATGATGTATGGATCATGGGAAATCACTACACCTTTTATCTTCTCCAGATGAAGCATGAATGATGGTACCACATTTGTAGTCTCTACATCATAACCACATATTGTTAAATCAGGATCTCGATCCGTCTCTATCTCTTCTTCTATCCATCTCTTCCATGCCCGGTTCCGCAGAATCACTACAAAACAGCAACTTTTCCCCAAGACCAAATGACATGAACTCAAACTGGATGGGA